CCTTTCTCCTACTCTCCTTTCAAAAACAAAACATTTTTAAAATCAGTACCATGTTGTTACAATGAGGCAATTCTAGTGACTCAATCATTCTATAACATCCTTTATCACTATCTTCAAGGTTGTGTTTTCCTAAGTGTCAAGAGATAGCAATGGATTATTACCCAAGGCTTAACCCTTTGCACTTGGATGTCGAGTGTGGATAATGTTGAGTGGATGAGAAAAAAGCAAGCGAGTGCAAAGGGTTAAGCAAGGCACAGACAAACCTAATTCAACAAGTGAAAACATTTCCTTTTTAAAATATACTTCTTTAGATCAGGCAGGTAATATAACAGATGTGGAATGGATACCTACAAAAAGTAATTACTTTCTTGCACATTGCTTAGAGAACTTTGTATATGTTTAATGTTTTTTTTTTTTTTGCAAAGCCCTTGCCTTTACTCTACTATTGTTTTCTATATTTCCTGATTATTAATATTAAAAATAACTACACAATGTGTAATATGCAAAAAAAGAAAAAAGAAAGAAACTCCCTTGCAATTTCTATATCCACAGAAAACAAATACCAACTTATTGTTAAATATCCTTGTGGTCTTTTTCTCTATACATGTATTAATTATCATTTGTTGACCAATAACGTTTCATTTTGACTCTCTCTGTGTTCCCTGGATTACTTTTTTTTACACATACGAATTCAGCTCACACCTGTAAGTAGCAATTTGTAGGCCCTTCACTTGAAATCTAAGTCCCTTTAGACAAATTAACTTGACATCTCAAAAATATCTCCAAACACAAATTCATTACCTCCCTTCCTCCTTGAGCTTCCTAGTTTGTCAGTTTTTACTCTGTTCCCTTTCTCCCTCACACACTATACTGGTTACCAAATATTGCCATTTCTATGAGCAAAATCTCCCTCAGTGTGCCCCTTCCTGCAGGCTCAGTGTCAGACCAGTACTGCTGCCTTTGTTCTCTCATCTTCATGGCAGAGTTAATGGAAACAAAAACGTATAACAAAGAAAAAGTAGAGAATTTCACTTGTTATTGAAATTCTCCTCCACTGGCTCCCCACAGGCTACAGGATAACGTCCAAATCCTCAGCAGGCCAATGAGATCCTCCCATTTTCCTCTCTTCTGCCACCTTGACAAGAGCCACCAAAAGCAGCAGAGAACTGGACCTGAGACCATCTGTAACTTGAGGTCTGATGCGCCCCCTGGTGGCAGAGAGAGCGTCCCGGGTCGGGAACCTCGAGAATACACCAGGCAGATACTGTGAAATCAAGCAAACCTGCCAGGCTGGGAGTTTGCCACCCCCGTCAGATTTGAAAATGGCCAAAGAATACTGAATTCAGTGGCCCACCCAGAAGTTTTATAAAAGCCATGAATTCTCCTGAGGAAATGCCTCAAACGTCCAAACCAGTTGTTATCATTATCAGTCTTGAGAGAAGATGGCATACTATAAAGGCATTTGTTTACTTATTGCTACCAAATAAAATTACAAGATAATTCTTATCCAATAACTACACTCACCTATATCCTTCCAGAATTTTCATGAACTTCAAACAAATAAAAACAGAGTATTCATTCATCTATGTATTAATTCTTCCCTTCAACGCACATTTTAAGAGCAGCTATAATGCTGTAGATTCGACACAAAGCCAATGCTATAGGCTAAGTCACTCCTCCCTGTACATAGGGAATCAGATAAATCCATGATAACAATGCACAAGGGAAGTCTAACCTGGATAGGGACAACTTCCCAGAAGGAATGACTGAGCTGATTTGGTTAAGCCAAGTAATAGTAGGTCAGGTAAAGAGTGAAGGGTATTGTTTCAGACTCTACATTACACATGCAACACAGTACATCACATTGGAGAGTTATCTGAATGCAGCAAGAATTTGGGTGTAAAAGATGATGTGACATGCAATTTTCCTTAATCCCCTTCCTTTTTTTGGAAATAAGGGATAACGCACAATACTTTAAATTTTAGGAGGAAACTTATTAACAACCCAAGTCTCTTTCCATTGGTTAACAGTTACAGCTTTTTATAAAATACTGAATGGCTTGAGATTAAAAGCATCTATTAAGAAATGTAATACCTTATACAAGCATCTCAGCCCACTGTAATGCTACAAACCACATGCTTTCGGCTGCAGTTAGCTCATCTGCCTGTGTGGGAGTATTCTCAGCAAAGCAGCATTCACTGCCAACTCAAGAGCAGTCCATTTTATCTTTAGAGCACTGTTAGAAAGTGACATTAAGCAACCACACAAGATATGTCTCCCAGTAACTTTGGCATTAACTTAGAGACCAAGTTTAGGGCCCTCCAGAACCAGTCTCATTGCTCTGCTACAAGACCACATTTCATACACCGTATTTGCAGTCTGTTCTCAGAGACTCGAGTATGCCACAACCTGTGTGCCAGCCACATCAAGTCTTGACTACTGGTACCCTTTGTTTATTTTATTTGCATTCACTTTGGAACATACTGCAGACCTGTACATGATAGGACAGTAAGAGTGAGACGTATGATCCAAGTAAAGCTAGATATGCCAACTTCTACTAATGCAGTTTCAGATTCAACAACTATTATGAGAAACTATATAACACCGTGGACTCATTTTAAGATTCCCTTTAGCTAAAGCTCTCAAGTGCTTGCTTTTTTTTTTTTTTTTTTTTTAAGTGACACATGCTAGGCCATGTCTCTTCCATTTCCTATTGCCAAAAAGTGCAGCCATTTCTATCAACGTGTTCATGGATATGTCTATATACATTAAGGAAAATACGTATTTCTCATAAAGGGAAAGTGACCTTTCATTAGATACATTTTTTTTAAAGGGCAAACCTGTACATTTATTTAACTTTTAGTGAAGTCAGTAAGAAATGTACTGGATACCTCGTAATTGTCCACAAAGCACCCCATTGGGGCCTGGGCAGGCAGGCTGGGAGGCGGAGGCAGGCCTGGGGCCTGGGGAGGGCAGCCGGGCTCCGCCCACACGCTCACATACCCCATGTCCCCGCTGTCGCTGCTCTGATGAAAGTCTCACCATGAAGGATGAAGCCAGACTTTCACCTTGACCTTGAGCTTCTACTTCTTCTTGCAGAAGACCCTTGTTCATGAAACCTAGTCCGCAAGTGCTGCGTCACACTTCCTGAGGTCTTGACACTGGGGTGAAGGAACATGTCCCGGGGACACAGGCAGGAGGAGGTTTATTTCAAATGTTTCATTAAGGTTTGGCATTGACAGGGAGGCGGCACTCAGATCACTCTAAGTTTTGTTGTGGGTCTCTTGACAATTTATTTTCAATAATCTGGGTGCCTCAGAGATACCGTTGTGCCCAGTAAATTCACAAATGCGGAGAAAGAAAATTCTGGAAAGCCAGTGGGGGGTGGTGGTAGAAATATCTCTCTTCTCTTTCAGGCAATTCTATCAAGTCTGTGTGGGTTGAGGGGAGGGAACAAAAGTTTCTCTGAGCTGTGGCATCATGGGGACCCGTTCCCTCATTTTCGACAGATGGCTTCTCACACCAGGCTGAGAAAGGTGTCCCTTCGCTGGCCCACCTCAGACAGTTCTGGGGAGATGGGAGCTGCACCACTTGGTCACTAGTCTTGAATAACCGGAAGGCTCCTTCTTCCTGAACATTCCCATGGAATGTTCTGGTACAACATGTCTGCCCCTGCCCTTGTGGGAGCACAGAGAGGCAGGCAGGCCTTGCTCAGGCTTCTCACCCTACAGCCACATCTTGCCGACTCTGGGGCAAGCCCCCATCTCGACCAGGATCTCACGGGCAGAGTCTGCACTTGCCAGCCAAGTCCTTGGACTTGGAGACAGAGGCGGGGCGTGGAAACACCTTGCGCCCGGCGGGCACCTGTCCGTGAGACTAGCCGGGCCCTGCGCCCACAGCCGGGGTCAGTTTGCAGGCTCGGCCGCGGCGCTCTTTGCTGGTGGGACTGGGGAAGGCTCACTAGCCTTCCTCGCCTTTTTCTTCCTTTTCTTCTTTTAGGTCCCAAGTGACACGTGGTCCCCGTTGAGCTCGCCTGCCTCCTTTTCCTGATTCCTGCCCCTGGCCCCACTGGCGGCGCTGGCCAAGGTGGCTGCAGCGGAGTCGACACTGGCCACCTTCTTGGCGTTCTTTTTCTTCTTTTTCCTTTCCGCCTCCTTCTCCACCACAACTGGGCCGTGCAGGGCGGACTCCTGCAGGATGTCGGATGCCGACATGGCTGTCTCCCGGCACCGCCACCACTCCCCTTCCGGTGGGGTTTGGGAGAAGCTTCCTTCTCAGGCCCTCCGGGGATGGATGTGAAGAAAAGGCGGAAACCATCATCCTCCGAGGTAACTTTCTGTTCCTCAGCTTTTCTTGGCTCCTTCACTGCTTCTGAGATGGCAGTGATGCGGTCCAGTAAGGCTCCCAGTTTCTTGGCCACGTGGCCTGGGAATTCAGGGGTGGTCTGAAGCTCGTTGCCGTCTTGTTCGTGCTCGTCCACCTTAAGCCTGAGGCTCGGGCGGGAGGCTGCCAACTGGTTACGTGCAGTTCCGGCACTCGGTTCCTCCAGACCCCGCGGGCGCTGCTCCAAGCCCCAGGCTGGCTGGCATTGCCGCCTCGCCACACCGAGTCAGCTCCTACGCATCGCAGCTGCTATTGCTGTTATCTGAATCCCTCAGGGCGCCATTGAGCGCCGCCATCTTGAGCCACCGCAAGAGATTGTGGGGAATGCCTCCATTATCGACCCCCACCGCACGACCTCCTAGATACATTTTTATTAGCATGCAGTATGTTCTAGGGACTGTGCTAGATGCTGGGAACACAAAGCTGAATAAGATAACATTATTTCATTGTGATCCCTTTATGTGAGATTATGTATATAAACCAAGGGCCCAGGGCATGTAGTAGTTGCTCAATAAACTGTTATTCTTATTAGTATGATCACTTACAACTTATAGTCTTTTAAAAATTCTTATAGATTTTTAAAATGAAAATACTACAATAGTGCCATCAATACTCACCAATACTATAGTATCTCTTTAGTTCTGTACGCCTGATCTCCTTTAACTGATTAGTTTTTCTCTTTTTTTTCTCATCAGTGATATATTCCTCCTCCACAGCAATGTTGCACTTGTCTTGCTCTAAAATGACTGCATTAGCATCTTCTTTCCCAGTATGAGTCCTTGCAGCTATAGCTGAACCTGTTTCTGCATTTTGTTTAGCTTGTTTTTTCTTTTTCAATCTAGGAGTGAAGAAAAAAAGGAAAAACAAAGGAGAAATGATTTGCTGGTAGGAATCATTAATTTCATGCAGTTGGGCTTTGAAAACTGATATAGGAAACACTTTCCTTATAATATTGTTCATTACATTTTCCTGTTATTTTTTCCTTTTCTAATCATTTACACATTCTTATATGGAGATTTGTGACCTTTCTTTAATCTTATATCCTCAATACTATGTCTCAGAAAATTATCTTTTTTTTTTTTTCTTTCTGCTACTTGCTATGGAGAGTGTCTCAGAAAATTAATGGGAAATTCTCTAGGCCTAAGGAAAAATGAGATTCTTCTATAGTTTATAAAGTGCTAACTATTTTTTAAAATCAAGGTGTACACTAACCTTACTATAATGACATGTTTGAGGATTGCATTTTAACAAAAAGTGCTTCTGGTTTTCAGTGTTAAATTTGGACTGATGGGTAATCACATTTGCACAAAGCAAGTCCTTTATAAAGGGCTCACATGCTGATTATAAAGATTTGGCAAGGTGTGAACTGAATCAGGTCTGCACGACTCTTTCCTTTACACACATGACAATAGTACTGAAAACAGGGCTGATTTTCCTGAGATAGAAAATGCCATAATAACAATATATAATTATCATTATGATTTCTAATAGTTGACTGATACCTTACTTAACTTTTGATGCTTTCTTTACTCCTAAGTCAAGGATGTGCAAGAGATGAATTTTATCATAATTCACTGAAATCCAATAATTAAAAATATCTTCCAACTGATGCATCACTCTGTAATTAATTGACGTGTCACTCTGTACTTGCTAGTCCTTCCTGAGAATGTTTTTGCCTTATCATAAATGTAAGCTCTTTGAGAATAAGGACCTTGGCCTCTAATATCTGTGGCACTCTGCTCATATGTAAATATTTTTTTCAATTAGGACAGTTTTCCCTGTGTCTAGATAGAAAGTTTCTAGGCATAGTTTTCTCTTATACATTTCTATTTCCTTTGCCCTCTTGAGCATCTATATAATTTGATGTTGAATAATGGATAAGAAAATGTTTGGGTAGAAAAATGAGACAACTATAAGATAATACAGGGACAAAGGTTTGATTTTCTGCTGCACTGCTCTGTGATGTTGGACAACTCAATTTGACAGTCTAGAGATGTCCCTCCCTGAGGCTGTGACTCTTAAGAGAGCTCTGACCTCAGCTAAGAATCTAACTCCTTGAGCCTCAGTTTTCTCATATATTAAATGGTGATAATTATACTGCCTTAGCCATCTAACAGGGTCTTTCTTCGGGACTGAGATATATGTCAACATGTAACACAAAACAATCAGAAACAGAAGTAGTAAAATATCCCCTAATACAATCATACAATGACATGACAACTAATCATGGTAAGATATACAACATTCAGTTTCCGGAGTAAGGGTCCCACATTCCAACATGATATTTCAACTAGGCTGTAATTTACTGAACACTGAGCAGCCAGGTACTTAGATTTTCACTTGCTAATAAATGAGTATATAACCTAAGAGGACAGCTAGAAAAATGCCAAAGATGAATATATTCCCCATATCTTAGTTTAGCTATCTTTTTATGTTTGCTTGTTTAAAACAAACCAAAAATAAAATCACAAACCAAACAGAGTCTCATAAAAAGGGGTTATTTTCAGTAAATAAACATGTTTTTATTTTCTATCCTTAGATTTTAAACTGTTTTCTGGTAAAATAGTAAGTGGCTCCTTATAAGATTGAGTCAGAAAATACTCCTAAATAAAATAAAAATTTATCTCCTGATCAAAATTCCTGTTTTAGGATGAAATTAATATGCAGCAACCTAAATATCATACAGAGATCATCTCTTACATAGGGAGGTTTGTTTATACAAAGAGCTGATCTCTTTATCCAAAATGCTGGCTATTGATGCACTGATCTTGTTCTGATAAACTGGCTGATCACAAACATGTTTAGGATGAACCCTGTTGCCCCTTCCAGAAATAATTCCTTCTAGGAGAAAAGAGATGTCAAAGTTTAGTTCTATGTGGCCTGAGATATGCTGCTTCTTAATCTTTTGAATTTTTCCACTTTAAGTTGATTTAAATGTCCTCATTTCACTGTCCCCATGATAATTAAACTCATTCAGATCTAGGGCTTGTGTTTTGATGAAGGCAGCACTGTTTGGGGACATCTCATTAGAGACTGATTTTCACACATGCAAATAACAAAATGGGACACATTGTTTTATTGTTTTATTCATTCCCCCCACCCCCCCACCCCACCCTTCCACACAGACCATTATTGTCAACACATACAGCCAAGGGTAGTTGTTACTTCAGAAAAAAATGCTAGAAAATAGCAATACCAAACTAGCTTAACAGCAGAGTACAATTTAATACTTTAGAAATTCTACAATCAGCTACATCTTTTGTTTTGACTAGGGTACTCATGAGATTTGTTTCTCTGGAGGTTATCCATACAACTGGAACATTTCGATCTTGCAACCAGATATCAGATGTGTTTCTAGAAGCCCTCTCTGCAAAATCCTTCCTTCCAAGCATAGAAACACACTTTTAACAAAGGCAAATAACTGCCAACCTGATGAATGGTGGTATAGTTAATGCTCTTCAAACACTCCTTTTTAGGGCTTTTATTTTTTAGAGTTTCTCTTTTGTTTTTTCATTTATATATCTATCTTGGTAGGGCATTCTCATTTGCCTTTGGCAAGTTTCTGAGTCTCTGTAAGAGGTCCCTTCATGGCTCCCTAAGGTTAGTGGACAGCAACACAAAAAGGCACCAAATGAGGAGGCTTTCATTAGCACTTAGAGTGAACGCTTCATGAAGGCAGAGATTTGTTAAGTGCTGTGTTCCTAGGGCTTGTGCATGGCACACATGAGGTACCCAAGAAACATTTCTTAAATGAATAAATAAACGAGCCTATGTTCTGATTTAGTTGAGATCTGTTCTCCTACACACTTGTCATTTCATAGCTTTCCCTGATTAGCAGTGCATTTTCAAAAATAAACTCCCATATCCTCAATTACGTACTTAATTTAAAAATAAAATATATTAGCCACATACAATTAAAAATGTATTAAACGACAAACTTCTTTAATTAATATTAAATTAATAATTTTATATGACTCTTTCCTTAATTTTATAATTTGGGATCCATGTTTTTTGAAAAAAGTGCCATAGACAAAAATATCTAGCATAGCACTGTCCGACATGGTAGCCACCAGCCAGTTGCCTATGGTTATTAAATTTAAAATTAAATAAAAATTTATAATTCAGTTCTTCAGTTATAAGAAACACATTTCAAGACTCATGTGCATGGGAAGGGGTTAAAAACCTACCTAACAGGTACAATCAACACTACTGGAGTGATGAGCACACAAATAGCCTTGACTTAAGCACTATAAAAGCTATCCATGTAACATTTGTACCCCCTTAATATTTTTAAATTAAAAAAAGACTTATGTGCTAGTGGGTACTTTACTGCACAATATACATAGAACTCTTCTATCATCATAGAAAATACTGGACAGTACTGGCCTAGAGCTACAATTAGCCTTAGTCCTATAACAAGACCCTAGAGGGAAGGGTGAGGATAGTAATAATATTTAAAACTTAATGAGTATATGCACAGAATATGTTTACAAGAGCACGCAAAAAAATTGGTTAAAAAAATTTCCAGAAAAAGAAAGTTATAAGGGGGAAGGATTAAGAAAAATTACTTTTCATTGTGTTTTATTTTGTACCTTTTGAATTTCATATCATGTACAACAGGTGTTCAAAAAATTGTGTTTAGTCCGTGAAGTCTCTTTTCTACTATAAGAATAAATTAACACAGAAATATTGTCAAATTTTAACTGAATTTTACTTTTTAAAAAAATTATAATACACTTAAAAGAGCTTTCTTCTAACAGCAACTACTGAGTTGACTAAGGAACCAGGCTCCGTACTAAGTACTTAACATATATTAGCCTATCGTCACAAAAGCCCAAGGAGGTAGCCAATTTTATTGCTATTTTACAGATAAGAAAAGGAAGACTGAAGATAAGTAGGGCCATTTCCCAAGGCCACAGGGCACAGTTTAGTTGTGGAGTAGGAATTCAAAACCCTAGGTTACAGCAAATTGCCACAGGGTCTCCCAGGAGCACCTTCTAAATATAGTCTGTGGCATATAAGTATATCTTGACTTTAAAATAAAATCCACTGGACTTGGGACTTGGGAAATTCCATGAACTATTTGGGGGCCTTACAATCTAGTGGGCTCCAATGGAAGCACACTTACAGGAAGATTTGAACCCTGATCTTGTTCTGGGCTTCGCTTTCTCTGTTATCAGCTTTGGGTGAACTTTGGAAATATGATAAACCCTCTGGGATTTCTAAGTAAACAAAAGCAAAAAGCTGACATGATTTTCAAGGTCCAGCCTGGCTCTAACAGTTTATACTTGGCTGAGAAGATTAGGAAATGTGTTAAAACTGTTTTGATGTTAAAAAAAAAATTTTTTTTTTTAATCCAAACTAAACCTTCCCTGGAGTTTTGTACTTCCCTGTGTTTTCTCTAAGTCTCACTTTGATTACATTTTCCTGCCACTGCAGAACATCCAGCTCTGGGAAAGTCCAGAGGTCAAGACAGAGCACTATTCGTATACAAAGGCTGTCAAAACAAAAATAAAAACCAAACTACCACCACCAATAACAAAAAACACTGCTCCACAACTTGGGGCTGATAGCTCCAGGAAAAAAAGTAGAAAATGTCAAATGCCTGGGACTACAGGCATGCACCACCATGCCTGGCTAATTTTCTCTACATATATTAGTTGGCCAATTAATTCTTTCTATTTTTGGTAGAGACGGGGTCTCGCTCTTGCTCAGGCTGTTTTCGAACTCCTGACCTCGAGCAACCATGAGGGCAGTATAGTCCTCTTTAATACAAAACTTTTCCTTAAAATTTCCTCTGTAGGGAAATAGAATACAACATCAAAGATGCATATATAG